TTCTTTTTACTATGTATTTTTTTCATGTTGGGAGTATAAAAAATTTCCTCTATATGAAAGATTAGAAATATATCATTGGAATGCTCAGAACAACTTTTGTGCAGGAATGTTGCCAACAATAATTTCAGTGGATGGATACCGAATGAGCTCATTTCTATTCCAAAGTTCATGTAAGCATTACACAAACTGACACCCACACTTAGGCCTCGTTTGGTATGGGTTATTTTGCAGAAATGGTTAAATGTGCTAAAAAAGGTCATGAGGAAATTTTAAAAAGTTCACCATTTGGGATAGTTTTTATCCCAAAAAAAAACTCGCATGACAAATTTCCTCATGGGTGAGAGACCTCTAAGAGGAAAAGTGTCTGGTTAAATTGTTCAGCCAAATAAATTTATCAGATGCTACCTAATTAATGCTACCAAATGGGGCCTTATATAGTTATATATACTCTAGTACATCTGCAGCTTTTATTTTTCTACCATGTGATGCTACTCCTCCTATGTAATAGCTACGGTGGTAATTCATTTACCAATGGTCCCGCTCCACCTTCGCCGCCATTTACCCCACCTCCTCCCGGTAGGCCCCGCAGAAAAAAACACGCTTCACCGGCCCCACACAAAATTCCAAGTTCTGATGACAACCTATCCAACAATCCAAACAAGGGAAATGGAAAGCATGGCATTACAGTTGGAGCTATCGTAGGCATAGTCTTGGGATCATTATTTGTGGTTCTCTTTACTATTATCCTGATTGTATTTTGCCTCCGGAGGTCCAGCAAGAAGGAAATTGTAGCAAGGTCCTCCACGGAAAGTCTTCATATCAATGCTGACAAAGGTTCGCTCACTCACTCTCAAAAATATGCATTCAAAAAAATTTTGTATTATTTTTAGCAATTCTTTATTAAAAAATATGAAGTATAAAAATTATTTAAAACGAAAAGTATTCAAAATTCGTGATTTTTGGAGTCTAAGATTGATACGGAGTAACTTTACCATATGTATCCTAAATCGAGAGCTCTCATCTTTCAGGATTCATTACTAGCATATCCTTTCGCCTTTTGGTACTCAATAAATCTCGAAAAATAAAACAATAAAGTTTAAACGTTCCTCATCACATTTTTTACTACAGAGTTGCTAGATCAAAGGGCAAGGTCGACATCTACTATAGTAGACTTGAAGCTCCCATCAACTGAGAAATCACTTATTGAAAGGATGCAAGGGAAGAATGGTTCTCTAAGGAAATCCTCTTTGACTGCTTCTCCATATACTGTGGCTGCACTTCAAACTGCAACAAATAGTTTTAGTCAAGAAAACCTTGTTGGCGAGGGTTCCATTGGTCGTGTCTATAGAGCAGATTTTCCCAATGGAAAGGTAATTACTAATTCGTGTTTTCCTAGAGTTTTGATTTCATTGGACAATTCTTATTTGGTCAAGGTATAGCAACAAATAAAGTCAAGACTTTATATGAAGGTATAGCAACAAATAAAATTTTAATATTTGTTCCCTTATGAGTATTACTCGAAGCAAAAACGTTGTCAAGATTTGGTCTATGCAGAACTTTTTAATTTTCACAAAGTATAACCCGTAAAAGTAATGAAGTTATATTTATGTTTCAAATAGTTATTTGTTGATTTGACAATGTGTACTATATCTAACTTGTTTATAACCAGTTCATGGATCTTGGATCCGTGGGTAGTAGGGAATACGCTACTCACACAAAGAATAAAAGCTTCAATTCAGAGCATGACCCATAAGAGAGGGGTATTTATAGGTTTACATTTACAGATGTGTAGACCTAGCTACGTCATTTACATGCATCATCATAGGGGATGTTGGGCCTGGCCCAACAGGCTGTGGGAGCCTAAGCCCTGCTGTCTGTCTAGCCGAGCTCGTCCCCGGAGCAGGCCCACTGGGCAGCTAATTGTTCCAAGGGTTTCAGCAAGCATTCTTCCTTTTGGGTCAGTTTGGGCTGGGTTCCAGAGCCTCCTCTTGCCTAGGCCTGGTGATCCAGCCCAATCTATCCATCACCAGTTTTGCCATATTATTGGCAAAAAGTAACTGTTTCTCTTTTGATGTTGTGCTAGATTTTGGCCATAAAAAAGATAGACAGTGCAGCATTATCACTGCAAGAGGAAGACCATTTTCTTGAAGCCGTTTCAAGCATGTCAAGGTTGAGACATGACAATATTGTCCCTCTGGTAGGATACTGTGCAGAGCATGGGCAACGTCTTCTCGTCTATGATTACATCGGGAACGGAAGCTTGCATGATATGCTGCATTTTTCTGATGAGAGGAGCGAACTGCTGACTTGGAATGCACGTGTTCGAGTAGCTCTTGGCACGGCTCGAGCTCTAGAGTATGTAATTTGACTATGGGTATTATAGTAATTTTGCCAAACTAATCATTGTTACTCTTTCTGTCTCACTATTTTTGTCTGTTACCATGTTTGGTGATATTTCTGTGTTTTACATTCATTTGCACTTTATCTTACTTTTTAACATCAATATCAACCACACGGTCTTATTTTTCTTTATCTCCGTGTCACTTCCTCATGTCCCAAAAATAGTGGGATGGAAAGAGTATCTTTTTTTGCCCCTAACTAAGCATTGGGTGACCAGGTACTTGCATGAAGTGTGTTCGCCTTCGATTGTTCATAGAAACTTCAAATCGGCAAACATTTTGCTGGATGATGAGCTCAATCCCCACTTATCGGACTGTGGTTTAGCTGCTTTGACACCCAACACGGAACGCCAGGTCAGCAATGCGGTCCCCGTTTTGTTGTGTTTTGTGTACACCTGTCACACGATGCTTTTTATAACCGCAAGTATCTTTCTCTTTCTATGTTGTGCCTCCATATTCATGTTCAAATATATTTATTGTTTTTGTTAAAACTCCGGTGGGCCGAGAACTACAGGCAGAGTGTCGGTTAAAATTAATCACTTGTTAACCACTTGCATAGAAACGCGGGATCCACTTTTTAACCCAAAAGCTTAAGCTGAAGCGTAGAGTTTCACCCTTTTATATATGCTAGTGGTATTTCTTTTCTTTTTCTAATGTGGGAACTCCAACAATTTCCATTTTTTAAACATACTAGTAATATTTAATCCTAGGAAATGTAGGGTATATTCACTTCCCCGGGGCCCACTCTTTAGGATTTTAATGGGCTTGTCGTCATTTTATTTTATTTTCAGGTCATGCTAAGGTTCCCCTAAAATGTCGACCTCAAGTTTTACCCCTGCCCATTCTTGCCCACACTGACATGGTTTCACAGACATGACCATGTATGTGAAATCTTGTCCGTAAGGGCAAAAATGGGTGATGTTTTTTTTTAAAATTTTAATTGCCAATGATTTTGTGTATTCTTTGTAATGAAAAAACTCAAGAAAGCTAACAAACTTCGTAAAAGATGCAAATTTTTTATGTCAACAAGGAACAGCTCTTTAAAAAATCATAATTAAATTTTTAAAATTTGCATTTTGGCTTGATGAATTCCATTGTACTCTAACTTGTTTGTAACCATAAATTTATAATTCCCCAACTCTTAGAACGTACTATGATTTTCGCCCCTAACTTCAACAGATTGCATCGACACACGTGGTTGGATCGTTTGGATACAGCGCCCCTGAGTTTGCATTATCCGGAGTATACACTGTGAAGAGCGATGTTTATAGTTTTGGTGTGGTAATGTTGGAATTGTTGACGGGAAGGAAGCCACTTGACAGGTCCGTTTTACCCTTACAACAACAACAAAAATAATAGTAATAGTAATTAATAATAATAATAATATTAATATTACTATTAATAGTAATAGTAACAAAAAATAATAATATAAATACTAATAATAATAAAAGAAATAATAGAGGTCACAAGTTCGAACCTCACCGCCACTTAGTTTTAAAAATATAATGTTCAAGTGCAATGTTCGAGCATTAAGAAACTCGTCTGTACGTGAGGAGGTGTGTTATTGAGAGGTTGAAGCTTGTCGGGATTCTTTTAAACCCTTTTCACTATTTATTATTACCATTTGATGTGTGTTTTTATAGCTCGAGGGAGAGAGCGGAACAGTCGCTAGTGAGATGGGCGACACCTCAACTTCATGATATTGACGCCTTGTCAAAAATGGTCGACCCCGTATTGAAGGGCATGTATCCCGCCAAGTCCTTGTCTCGTTTCGCGGACATTATTGCCCTTTGCGTTCAGGTAAACAGTAATTTTTCAATAGTATAGACTGGGAAAATATCTAATGAAACCGTCTTTTAAAGAATATCAATGTACTCCGTGAGTTTTATTTACTAGAACAAGAAGCACTCTAGATGAACAATGTTTGTCTAGTTTGATTGGAAAAAATCAACTTGGATATATACACCGGGATGAATGTAGTAGTATAGAGTCGGGGGCATACCTGGCAATGTAAAATGCCGAGATTATGTATATGGTTTTGCTATATCCACCCTCATTTTGGCTATATCTACTCCATTAATGTTAAATCGACAATTTTAACCTCAAAAATCCAAAAAAAAAAAGAAGAGAACTTTGATGCAAGACCACTTTTAAGGGCAAAATTGTCCATTTAATATAAAAGGAGTGGATATATCCAAAATGAGGGTGGATATAGCAACACCCTTATGTGTATATAGATGCAAATAATCTAATGATTTGAAACGTGCAGCCGGAACCGGAGTTTCGGCCACCCATGTCGGAAGTGGTTCAAGCGCTGGTTCGGTTAGTCCAACGGGCAAGTGCGGTCATAAGACGTTCGAACGATGAGTCGGGATTCTCATTCAAGACACCTCCGCACCAAACCACCGCCCCGGACATTCCATAGAAGTTTACCTCTGCAATTTTGTATGTAACTTCTCAGCAGAGGTGAGATGGTTAAATCCAAGAGCTATGAATTAACCGAGTGAGGTGAAAAAAAAAGATGTACTCCGTAATTATTTGTCAGTAGTTGAAGTCAATGGTAAATAATTTTTTTATGACAAAAAATATTCTTACTTGTCCTTTGTTGTTCCATATTTACTTGCCATTTTCACTGCACATTCTTACCTCTAAAGATTCAATGGTTTATTTACATTTTTATTCAAAACAAAATCAACATATTGGAGATTATTTTTTTGTGGGTAGTGTAAATTTTTTGTGACAAGAACCACTTAATATTAGTTTTATAAATGAACAAATTTAGTAGATCTCATGTGAAGCAAAATTTGTACCCTACCAATATTTTGGAAATGAAACAACTTTAGATTTCATATATTTTGTTGGCAAATAGAGTCCGGAGATTAGACCGTCTCCCTACGCCGGAGACTCCTCCGTCGCCGCCGCTGCCGGAGGCGTCAGTGCACATTGATGCCTTCATGGTTAGCACTCTTGCTTTGTACCAATCGCCGCCGTCGCCGGCGGCTGGGGATACTTTCCCCCACCCCCTATTTCCCCCTTCCTTTGTAGTATACCCTTTCTCACCGTGGCTCCTATCTTTTCCGACGTCTTTATCTGCTGACTTCGTCAAAAGCCCGTTACTCCGGCTGCCGGTGCCGCTCACGCTCCGGCGGGGTGGCCAGGCTGTGTAGGTCCGCCCCTTGCGAGGGATCGGCGATTTCTTGAAGTTGAACTCGGCGGGAGAACACGGCGCGCTGCTCACTCTGGGTGGAGTCAGGGCGGCTCCAGCTGGCGGCATGCCGCCGCCGTTGCCGGCAGAATTGCTTCTTCTGAAAGGCCAAATGTTGATGTTTAGAACCAGTTCGGCGGCGTGAGCTGCAAAAATGCCGCCTTTCTTTTCCTTGCTGGTTTTCTCGCCGGGAATCTCTCCGCCTTTAGGGGCCCTCTTGAAAATATCCCTCCACCGTTTGGAAGAGGTGGTGGAGGAGCTGACCGCCGCAGCAGATATTTCCGGCCCGGATTCAGATCCCAAATCCGGCTGCTCCGCCCCGTATGAATCTGGGTGATCGGATTTTGGTTCCGACTCCGGCCGCTCTGCCCGGGATAAATCCGGGCAATCCGTTTCTGGTTCCAATTGCAGCTCCTCTGCTGCGGATGAATCCCGGCGTTCAGACTCCGGTACCAACTCCGGCTGCTCTGCTGCAGGTAAATCCGGGCGACCCGATTCCGAAACCAACCCCAACAGCTGTTCGACGGATGAATCCGGCGGATTCAATTCGGGAGCAAAACGGGTCTTTTCTTCCTCTCCGGACAAACCCAGCAGATTCGTCTCCGGCGTTTCGCCGGAAGTGGGAATCCGGTAGAGAGGGAGCAGGACGCCGTCGGAGAAGAGCTGATCGGCGGACAAAAGATTGGGTTTTCGGAGCACGCAAAACTCGAAAGACCCACCACTAGAACCGCCGCTTCTTCTTCGCCTTCTCGATTTCCCGTTAGGGGAATCGTGGAAATTTGAAATGGACTGAAGAACTTGAGCTTCTTCTTCTTCTTTTTCTTCTTTCATGGCCGCCATGGCTCGTCGGAAGAAAGAAATGAGAGAACAGAGAGTTCTTTAAAACAGAGTTGGCGCAAAGCAATAATGGCCGTTTTCTTTCTTTTCCTTTTTCGTTTTTTTAACTTCAAAATAAAGGAACCGGTGGGACCCGACCAAACTTAGTCCATTTACCTCGAGATGTGGCAAAGTTGGGGAGAGAATATTCAAATATTTTCTTCTTTTTTTTTTCAAAATTTTTATGAAGAATATTGGGTAGATTAATTGAATAGATACTAAACATAAAAAATTTACTTAATAAAACTAAAACATTAAATTTATACTAAAAGGGGTTGTCAAGTTAACTCTTTTTTTGTTAAATTTACACCTTTTATTAAAAAAAAGAGAAATTTACCCTTAAATTGTAAAAATAAGACATGCATGTGGACTAATTTAAGGATACAACAACAACAACCCAGTTGGATCCCACTACAGTAGGGTCTGGGAGGGTGTGTGTACGCAGACCTTGCCCCTACTTGGAAGCAGGGAGGCTGTTTCTAAGAGACCCCCGGCTCAACCTGCACAAAAAATGATAGGGTATACAGTATAGCATGGATAAAACACCAAGTACAATGAAAAGAAAGTTCTACAAGCATTTAAGGATAAAATTGAATATTTATCATACACAAGGTGAATTTATAAAGAAACAAAAGAATGAATTTAGCAATATTAGTTGAACTATAAAAATAGGAAATCTGTGAAGGGTAGCAATATTGTGTATGCTTAGAATATTAGAGAGGAGATGAAAAACAAATAAACTTTATGAATCGTATGAATGTTTTCATATTAAAGTTATTCCAATTCCGATAATATTATAAAATATTTTAATCGGATAAAACGTTTATTACTAGAATTGAGTATATGATTTTTATGTATGAAACATGAAACATAAGACCTCTATATTTATAAAAGAAATATGGCTTCATTGATATGAACCCGCATGATTGTTTGTCAAATATTCGAATACCCACGTAATACTGTGGTCAACAACCAATCAACCACCACTTTTCGTATAGTACTCAACTATAATAGTCAAATACTAATGCGCCCAAGATTTTCTACTATAATAAAAGTATTTGAATATTAATTTATACTCCGTAGTATTTTAACACTCAATTCAATCGTACATTCCACAGTTTCAAACTCATTATCAATGTTTATTAATATAATGTTTTCTATGACACTAAAATATCAACATAAAATGCCTAAATTTGATATTCTTCCAATTCTTTGCAGTTCTTAAAATTATTTCTTACTTTTTCTAATTGTTTCTAGTTTTTTCCAACACAAAAGATCAACGTTTTAGTAATATTTTAATATTTTTTAATTTGATGCATAATTAAAGTGTTTAACCTTGATATTCAAATTAATTAAAATTAACAAAGAAGATTAAATGGGAACTTTACACAAAATTCTTATGAAGTTAATTTAAAAAGTAAATAAACAAAGCTTAATTATTGCTTGAAAAAAGTGAGTAGAAATTAAAAAAAAGTTAAAATAAATATCAAAATTTCTTAAAGTGACTCAAACTCATTTGCACGTTTTAGTATTTTTTTAAACATCAATATCAATAATTATTTTAACACTGTTTAATTTGCATGACGTTAATCCATGTCTAGAAAGAAATATGACAAAGAAGACAATGTTTTTGTATTAATAGGAAAAATTATCTTAAATAATTCCACATTTTCACCTTTTTTCAAAAATAATCTCATTTTTCATTGTCACAAAAAATAATCCCACATTTCTGCATGTGTGCGAGTTTTGGATCATCGTTAAAAAAACTAACGACCACTTAATGGTATTATTTGAAAATGCCTGTTTTTCACAAATAAATGAAAGGCGGGATTATTTTAGGTGAGATTGTTTCCCGCGACAGTGAAAAACGAGATTATTTTTGAAAAAATGCGAAAAAGTGATATTATTTGAGATAATTATTCCGTATTAATATTGGTTGAAAATAAATGCAATACATTATTCATTTAATTCATCCGATCTGATTTTGAAAACTATGATCGTTTTATTGTCGTTGCCAAAAATCGAATCCTTTATTATCTCATGATAGGATGATAGTCATGATGATGAATATGATGGTGATGATGATGAAATAAGTAAAATGTTATTGAAAGTGAGAAAAAGTAAGAACAATATTGTTAGACCTGGTGGGAGTAAACTCCATTAAATATATCACTCTCCTTGAATACTACGCTTATTTGCTTTTGTTAAAGTCACTATATATGGACCCTTTCAACAACAAAAAAAGTTCACAATGGACATTTTAGCCCTACACTACTGACGATTCCCTGTTCCAAACTGAAAATATCTCACCATTATTTTTTTGAGTAAATTTCATAAAAGGTCCTCAGTTATAGATCATTTTACATATTTAATCCCTACATATCAAATATTACTAATTTAGTCTCAATTATTATATCATTTTTCACGAATGGTCCTTTGTTAACGTTTTTGTTAAGAACATGGATAAAATTGTATATTCATATTCTCTTTCTCCTCAATTAAGCTTCCTCCCTCCTCTCGTACTCTTTCCCAAACTCGTCGCTGAGTTTGAAGCTCTAAACCCAAAACTGACATGATCATTCTTCTCTCAATTATTAGTCTTCCTGGTAGAACCTAAAATTAAAACCAATAAGCTTTATGGATGAGTTTTATCGGTTAGGCTCAAGAAATTGTAAAGAAATAAACATTAAAACTCATCCATGAAGGTTACTGGTTTCGAATTTGGATTCCACTAGTCAGACAAACAAATGAGAGAAAAGTGATGATTTCGGTTTTGGGTTCAAAGCTTCAAACTCAGCGACGGGTTTGGAAAATGAGTGCGAGGGAAGGAAGGAAGCTTAATTGAGGACTGAAAAGAGTGTGAATTTACAATTTTATCTACATTCTTAACGTAAATGCTAACAAAAGACTATTCGTGGAAATGAATATAATAATTGGGGACTAAGTTAGTAATATTTGATATGTGGGGACTAAATATGTAAAACGACCTATAACTGAGGACCTTTTATGAAATTTACTCTTTTTTTGCGTAATCTCTATGTCACTCCTTCGTGTCCTAAAAATGGTGATAGAAAAACAAATACTCCGTAATATATTATTCCTCTGTCCCTAAATATTTGTCACACTTGTATTCCCGAGGTAAAATATCAAATTTTTTCAATTCATTTTATAAAAAATAAAATTTACATATCAAAAAACTAATGAAAAGTTCTTTGAAATAAGAGGCATCATGAATATTTTATTTTATCAAATAACCAATAAAAACATAGAAATAAACAAAAGTTTCCGCGACTACTAAAAAAACAAATGTGGCAAATATATTGGGACGGAGGGAGTATTATGGATTTTTTTCATTGTTAAATGCCAAAAATGATAAAATATCCATGCCCTACCCATACCTTTATTTTAGCAGTGGACATTTTGGCCTACACATTCCTTTATTTATGCTTCTTGTATAACTGCAACCGGACAATATTTGTTTGTACTATAGCAAATATACAAACAACTTTTGTTTTTAAACTGTGAGAATTGGGATGATGATATTGTATAGCTTTGTCTAAACTTTTTAGCCTACCAAAAAATTAATCCCAAATGCATAGAGGCTCCATTATTAATATTGTATTTAGGTCAGACCACCCAAAATCCATACGGTTTGAAACGCACGTAAAATAAATCGGACTTACCCTTCCCGAAAATGAGAATTAGGTTAAATAAGCACCAGAGACATAATACGAGAGGCGATCTCCAGACCAGCATTGAGAGTCTACAATCCACCTGTCTCTCTCTTAAGAAAATATATCGTGATTTACTTTTGAATCTGTAAATACTCTTTCTCATTCCGTAAAGAAGGGATCAAATTATCAATATACAAAGGATTAATATAGTTTCATCTCCTCAATATCATTTACGCCATGTTCTTCGCAAGTAATTTTTTTTTACTTATTACATATTCTTATTAAAATCAGATGAGACCAGATCAGATCGGCAGATCAGACCAAGTCAGATAAAAAATAACCTTAAATATGACTACAGTTAGATCAAATCAAATAATACTAGATCAAAATTTATTCGAATCAGATCAAGTAAAGAAAACTATGTATTCTCTATAATGCTCATATATTTGGTGGACTAAAACTCATTAATTAGTACTCCGTATAATTTATATAGATACTAACCAAATAAGTTTGACAGTTTGGATGAATATATAAGTGTGAGGTAAACCTGATCCATTTGGTATGAACTATACCTAATTTTATTTAGAATCTGTTTGGTATACGGAATTCACGATATTAGAGTTTAATTGAAAATTGATATTATATGTAACTAATTTTGTTGAACTTAAAATTTTCAATTCCAATTCATTATTGGAATTACCAATTCCAAATCTACATATTTTTGTGCTACCAAATAGCAAAATTGAAATTGTTGTCATCAAATTTTATAGTTTGAATTCCGTGTACCAAACTGAGCCTAGGTGTTATTGATTCACTTACAATGCAGTGCATCTTTATACTTTTCTCAACTTAATGATTCACAATGAGTCCACATCCGATGAGGCTCGAACCTGTACCCAACTTAAAACATTGGGTTGAACCGGATTTAATGGTGGTTGCTTTGGGCACATTTAAGTACCATATTTAGTTGTGTGGGTAGTATGGTTTTTGACAAAATAGGAAAACAAACATAGAAAAAAAAAAAGCAGTAGCAGGTGTTGGGCATACATCCATGACATCAATCACGTCTTCCCACTTTCAAGCATCAAATTTGGACGGCAAAAAAGGTAACCCCCTCTTGGCTAATTCTAACCACACTTTTTCCTGTTGCAATACTTTTCTTAAACTTCGAGAAAAACAAACCGAGAAATTTTTTATGGGACGCGGGAAGAACGGAAAGATTATTTGGAATAATGTCAAATACATCTTAGATGTTAAGTTGTACCTTTATTATTCTAAGTGTAGCTATTTCATAGCATGTATTCTCTGTAACTGTACCTAGTCTGAAATCCTCGATATACAGTATCATGTACCATGTTTAAGACTGCACGCCACTCGCCAAACAAGCCATAGACATGCCTTATTTGAAAGCTTAACAAAATAACTCTTCACATATGACTATGGGCAAAGTGAGATTCTATCTTCTCTAGTTTTGATCAAATACCATCTGGGAATTCTAATTTTGGAGCTTGTGCACACAACTCTCCTAGT